TATTTAAGACAGTTATTCGGACTTTATCAGCAATCCGTGTTTGTTGTTTTTACACCGCTGACAGCCTTAGAATGTACCAGGAAGATGAGTCCAATATTCGTCTAATATCACTCCTCATCCATCGATTTTGTTTATCGAGACCAAGGAAGCAAATCATAATATTCAACCTAAAATAGTGCGTGTATAGAAAACGAAACAGATAAACAGTGATTCAAATGTCTTTTAAAGCAATGAACTGCAGTAACTAATCAAGAGCACGCATATTATCAATGAACAGGTAAGAGCCAGCTGCCTGATAGCAGCCGCACAGTTGCATATAAAATAGTCGGCTACTTATATCGTTGTTAGTAGTCTAGCTACTGGTTCGTAAAATAAAGCTTCGGCCCGATGTAAGGTCCAATGTACATTTAAATGAACTTTGTTTCTACCTATTTTTGATTCGCGTAAGCCGAGTGCACACGATTTTTTGTTCAAGCCCACAGATAAGTGCGGAATATCTAAATTGTCGGAGCCTACTATAAATGATGTTCCATTTGGTAATTTTGGCACCGAAAATATAGATTTAAAGTCAACAATTGCTTGTGTAATTTTGGACACGTCTGCAAACCACTTCCTCTCCCCAATCGCGGAACTGCGCAGCAATAAGGCCAAAGGGCGAACTATGAGAACACTTTGATTCTATCTTTCAGTTCCAATGTTTATTGGCCGCACGAGCAAACGTTTATTTGAACTAGTCCGTGAGCACCACGCAGCTAGGCTGAATAGTGAGTTGATTAGGACTAATAACAGTTCAATCTTTCCACACCTAGCGGCTTGAAACCAAGTGGTCGATGCGGCCGAGGGTTTTCAACCTACCTACTTAGTTCGCAGTCATTGATCTAAGGGGATCAGGAGTAGTATCCTGGACACAGGGGTAGCGATCGGAATTCGCCAACATAATCCCCCATATGCTCTCAAATACAATTCGTAAGAACACTCGATCTTGCATGGCCAATACACACGACACAGTTATCCCTCCAATCGCCCCTAATGACGCAAACCAATGCGTATGTCTAATGACCAAAGTGTGAGCAACATCCGATCATGTAGCTGGAATGTGGATTCTTCCTCTTCCCATTGTATTTTGTTTCCCCCTCCATCCACTAAAAGTTTTGACATATTAGCCAGTGGATGAATCACCGCGAACGAACTTTTTCGCTACCCTGTGTTCTTCTTGCAATCCGTACTGATGGTTTATTCGGACGATTATGGTTGCACTGTCGAGCGATCATTCTGATTGTTGTCACTCGGGAGCCATCTCAACAAACAATAGGTTAATTAGTCGGAGAATGAAAGCTGTGAGCTCTATCACAACAATATTATATATTTATATTACATCTGTGCAGAAGACAACTCAGCTGCATAAACGCCTTGCTTTTGGGCAGTGGGGTATTTCATTCACTGTGTCCAACTATTGACACAGTTGACTAAGAGGCTCCTTAACAGGTGCGTTCAAACCAGCAATCTGATTGTATCCCGTACAGTTCGATCTATGGGGCTCAATTTATTTCATCAGTGCCCAACCGCGATTACTTGATACTTTTCTCTGAATTTTTCACCGCTCCTCCAACAAACTCGTAAGATGCCGGGCTGGCAGTTTCGTTCTACAGCCAAATGTTAAAGCATAGGTTTCTCTTTTACCTTCCACCATATGGCAGCACGAATTAAACATCTTCACCAGGCGCTCTACCTCTCACGAAGAATAAACGTTACTTTAAATTCAAAGGTATGTCATGTTTGCAAACGCTAATTTGATATTACGTTACCCTTCCGAGACTGCATCCTTAATTTTTCTATCAGATGACGTCAATCCGCCGAAGCAAATACATTCACCGACTTATCCGCTCTACTTCATCTTCTATTAAACTGAAATCGTAAGTCACATCAATCGTGCCCAATAACAGAACTTTTAAGGCCAACAGTTTATGCAAAACGTATGTATAATAATATCCCCACCGTTAGAGCAACCGATAAAGGCATTGAATGAAAAAGATACAACTATCAACATTTTTACATGCATCATATTCATTATACTGTTCTATCATTTTACATCACAGAAATTGGGTACCTGAAACTGGAAAACGGGTTGCTCAAGTCTTTGGAAAAAGAAATAGGCAATCACGCTAGATGAACCCGGCGATTGAACGCTAACGCCCTGGGCATGGGCTGCAAGAACAGCAGCATTTCAAAAAGAGAAAAAGACTTTAACAAGTAAAATTCAATTGAGAAGGGAGAAAATTTGCGTATGTGCTTGCGTGCAATCAGTTATCGAAAAATAACAGATAGAATTTACAATGCGATGAACCCCCCGGAAACAACAAACAGTGTATACAACAAATCTTGGATCCGAATAGCACGCAAGTAACCTGAGTGTACAGTTGAAGGCAAAACAACTCGTGTGATCATCAGTGATCAGATTGCGCAATCAGTGAGACGTGAACACATGAAAGCACAAGTCACAGGTCTGTTTCCGTCGGCTGAGCTCCTTTAATTCGACCACTCCGTTGCAAAACGGACATTTCTCCAGCCGTAAATTCTCTCAATGGCTTGTTTTTATGAATCGTACCATTATTTTTTTCCTTTGTGGGGCGAACTGCGCTCGAACAATCCCCATTCGCATGTTTCTCATTCATTCCTGGCTCTCGGGTGTCTTCTAGCTCTCGAATCTGTCCGGTTGCAATTTTGTAGACTAGCAACAAGATAAACTATCCCGGGAAAAAATG